TATATATATATATGGCAAGAAATTTGCTAAGTTTTGTTACCTTCTTTTCCTCAACTACCTTCTGTGCAAAAGGAGTGACTCAAATGTTTCCTAACCACCTTTTTGCCCTGAGATTGTATGATTCTATATTGGAATGTACAGCAAATTCATAACTATTTTAGTCATTTAGAAATATACTTTTATTTCTAGATTTCATTAAAATCAACTTATAAGCTTCAGATTCAGAAAGCAGTTTTTATTCTTATGAAATTAAATACTTCATTCATTTAGAAAGGTTTTAGAAAACTATTTTAATTGATCAAAGGCTTCTTAGAGAGTCATTGTCAATATGCTTTAGGGTGAAAATTTATTTTAAAGGCCTGAGGACTACTGTGGTTTCTTTCATTAACTGCACTGAAAGTTTTTATAATTGTACCATTGAAACATCTAAGCCTTATTTGAAACAGCATATTTAGATTGCTGATTTGACTTACCAAACCTGAAAAATATTTCAGAATTATAAATTTAGAATTTTAAAAATTACTTAATATGGATTAGACAGAAGTTAAGGGGTACCTTGGACAGAAGACTTAGAGAATAAATATTCAGTGGCCTGGTGAGACTCACTTTCTCATCTGAATAATGGGAGCACTTTTACTTTTGTATGTTCAAAATAAGGATGTCATATAATAGTAATATAATAGTTATGTATTATATATTAGAATATCACATAGTTTATTGTGTTTCATTAATATATTATTTTAAAACACTTAGTTTCTGGCTTATGGTAAGACAATCATGTAGTGTCCTTCTTTCTTTTTTTTATAATTTAGCTGAATGAGCTTGAACAATTAGTTGACATAGGCCCTATTCATAGTTAGGAAGGACATTAAGTGCATAGGACTGTCTTGACCTGTAGAGACCTTTCTATTTTTTCCGTATTCTGTAGTATGAAAATAAAATGAGTTCTGGTTAAAAAACAATGAATGTATTTTCCCCATGAACTAAGATGATTTTGTTTTTCTGCCACCAATCTTGAAACTCATGTGAGGTTTGAACTTTTCTAATTTTCACCATAATTTTAAGTGTTGATTCATGACAAAATGTGGTCCCTAAATATTTCTAAGACTACCTATAATGACATAGTGCTATGGACTATCCCCCACAAGCTCATGTGTCAGAAGCCTGGTTCCTGATGCAGCAAGGTTCAGAGGTGATACTTTTAGGTAATAAGCAGACCATGGGGGTTCTGACCTCATCGGCAGATTGATTCACTTAGGAAAACAGGAAAGTGCTTCAACAGGGATTTAGGATTCCAACTGGTTCTTATGAAAGGAGCAAGTTTATTACCATTAGGAATGATGAAAGGCTAACGTTGGTAAGAAGAAAATATTAAAACATAAACAAAACAAAAGTCTGGTGCAGTGGTGACCAATCAAGCTGATTGGCCTAATTAGTGCTAATGTAAATATAAGAGAATGTTCTGAGAAATGCATTTCCATAGACAGACAATATTTCTTCAGAGAAATTTCACTGCTATAGTTTTGGAGCTGAACACGTAGAAAATTTGTGTTACTTATGTGGCCATGTAAACTCTCAGCCCCTGATCACATCTATATTAATCACTAGACCCTTTACCATGGAGTTCAACAAGGGTCTCAAATCCTTTCCATGTGGTGTTACAAGTATCATTGTCAATCAATCAGAGCTGACAGTTGAAACAAAACCTAAAAGTACATTGGACATGAATTACAAAATCTAAGCTCAAATCTTACCTCTGTCACTGCTTATTTTGTCTTTAGTCAGTCAGAACCTTTCTAAACTACATTTTTTTTCCCCTTTGGTAATGTGAAAATAGTGATTTGTTGGGTTATTTCAAAAATTTGTTCTTAACACCAAATAAATTGTTAAAAGTGGTTTCTTTTGGTAAATATACAAAATTTTCATGCAAATTTAAGGAAATGTTTTTTTTTATATTTTTGTTAAATTAGAGAATTATTAATCATATATTCTTTCCATATATAGTTAAGGGATTTTTTTTTAATTTTGTTCATACATTTTTTTCAAGTAATTCTGCACTTAAATACCAATATTACAATAATTGGTCTTAATCTTTTCTAGTTTCTCAGAAGAATTTTTTTATATGTATTGGTGATCTGTGAGGGTATATTTAGATTTATATACATAGTTTAATTTTTCCTAGCACTAATCTGCATATATGTGTTTGAATCCACTTTTCCACCACTGTGACCAAAAGACCCAACAAGAACAATTTAGAGGAGGAAAAGTTTATTTGGGGATTACAGTTTCAGAGGTCTCAGTGAAGAGACAGCCAACTCCTTTGCTCTGGATATGCAATATATTTGTCTGTCATGTTTTTCATTCCACTTACCTAATAAAATATTTTATTTGAGTGATAATGATCTATCATCACTAAATATTTCTGTGTAGGACACAAAATTTGCTGTTGTATGTGGGGTCCTTTATAGAATAAAGATAAATCAAACAATTGACAAGAAGCATATGATTCAGACAAGAATACCAAAATGAACAAAGGTAAAAAGAAACACAGAACTGCAACCTACTCAGAATTCTTGACTAGTCTAGAAATAATGGGTGGAAGTTAATATGCATCCTATCAGTAGAAACTCTGGACAGGATGGTGGTCCTAGCTTCAACTTATATTATATCTAAAGAGTTTCAAGTGATTATGAAAAGAAATCATATAAAAGTATGTCAAAGGAGCCACCACTAGTAAAAAGAAGATTAAAATAAAAAACAAAATATAATTAATGTGAAGGAAAGAACACATTGAGTGAAACAGATAAATTGGAACCAAACTTGAGCCAAATATTACTAATAAGCCTTTCTTGCATTTCAATATATTGATGATTGCAAAACTTTATGTTGCTTTTTCTCAATATTTTTTTTCATCTGCTACCCTATGTTATTTAAACTAGCACATTTATCTTTTTTCTGTCTGCATCAAACCTGGGTGAACATTAGGCCAAATGGACTATCGGATATCTACCCAATGTCATTTTTGGTTGTATCTTCACTGAACATGAAGAAACAGGAGAGTGATAGACATATCAACTTGAGAAAAATGTTCTGCCATTTCAGGTGAATAAAGCCAGTTAATTCTATTCTGTATTTCTTAACTAATTTATTCAACATAATTAATCTGCAACCCTATTTAGTCTTTTCTCTAGAGAAACTATGCCTAGATTTATAAAATTCATGCCCACAAGCAATGAGAACACTCTTACATATGTTTGAAGAGTCCCTTTGGAGAAGAATTTTTGACAGATTCTTTGAATCAAATGTAGATTCCATTTGTTTTTGGTTTTATTCCAGAATTCGAATCTGTCTCTGAGGGCTTACATACTCCAGAGGTATGCATCTAGAATGGATCAAATGTTGTTTGTAAATTAAGGATTTTATGGAGAGATTTCAAGACATCTAAGCATAATATTTTTTAATTTATGAGAAAGGAACATTTAATTCACATTCAGGGAGGTAGATATTTGGTTGGGTGGTTAAATTTATTCATTCACTTAAAAATCATCACAAATTTGTTGACTTATAGAGTGTTCTGGAATTTAACATTTTTTTTTTTTTTGGTAGTTCTACTACATTTTGCTATGTGATTTTAGATAGTGGCTTAAATTCTCTTTAACTTTCCATCTATAAAATGATGACATTAATAGTGATTGGTTTCTGCTTGTAGTTTTGATTTAGGATGTGTTAATTGTTTCATATAATGCTGGCACATAAAAGAGCTTGCCAAGACTAATAATAGTGAAAATTGTGATGCTAGAGAAAGTGGGAATGTTGGAGCTGGGCAGAAAAAATTAGCCAAAGCAACACTGGGCAGAAAAAAATGATATTATAGGCATCCCATTACCTGATCTAAAATTATGCTACTGAGCTATTGTAACAAAAACAGAATGGTATTTATATGAAAACACAGTTATGAAAACCAGTGGAACAGAAAACAACAACAACAACAACAACAGGAGACAATCCACACAGATACAGGCATCTGATACTTAACAAAAATGCTAAGAATAAGTGTTGAAGAAAAGACACCGATTTTAATTAGTGGTACTAGAAAACTGGATATCCAGATATAGAAGAATGAATCTAGACTTCTGTCCCTCAATCTGAACAAAAGTCAACTCAAACAATTAGGTGATAAACTTTGCAACTGCTAGAAGTAAACAGGCTCAACACTACAATATTTGGTACAGGCACTGACTTCCTTAAGAACCATAGTACTTAATATAAAACTGGGAATCAATAAGTTGGATGGCATTAAGGTAAAAAGCTTCTGC